AACGAAAGAACCCTTTATAAAGGAACCCTTTAAAAGGAACCCCATAAGCCCCACTTATAACTACCCATGGAACCTCCAAGTACCACCCTAAACCCCCAAGCCCTAAACCCCTAAACCCTAAACCCCTAAACCCCTAAATCCCTGAACCCCTAAACCCTAACCCCTAAACCCTAAACCCTAAACCCATGGACCTCCAAGGAGACCTCAAAAGAAGGACCCGAGCGGCCGCAGGACTCCAGGAGCCGACTCTGCGCCGGCACGCCAGGCAAGGAAGTCGCAAAGAATCTGGGTTTAGGGCTTTAGGATTTAGGGTTTTAGGGTTTTGGGACTTAGGGTTTAGGACTTAGGGTGTTTAGGATTTAGGGCTTTAGGGTTTTAGGGCTTTAGGGTTTTAGGACTTAGGGTCTAGGGTTTAGGGCTTTAGGGTTTCAGGAAGGGTTTTAGGACTTAGGGTTTTAGGATTTCGGGTTTTAGGATTTAGGGCTTTAGGGCTTTACGTTTTAGGGTTTGGGGATTTAGGGTTTTTAGGATTTAGGGTTTTAGGGTTTTGGGGTTTAGGGTTTAGGGTTGCGGGTTTAGGGTCCATACGGTGACCGTCTAAAATGGCGGGAGCATTCAAAGGGCCTTATGTATCTATGCTATAAAGGGGTCAGTACCCAAGGTTTAGGAATAATCTGGGAGCTGTAGGTTTTCAAAGGTTGGATCGGGCTTCACAGGGCGTTATGGGGTTTGGCAGGGTGTAGGGTTCAGGGTTTAGGGTGTTCTAGGGTAGCTTTGATAGGGTGCTCGAGGGTTTCATTGGGTTTCATAGGGAAGCTGCTTTCTGGTTACATGGGATTTCATGAATGTTATAGGCTTTCATAAGTCCTCACAGTACGTGACGGGGATTCATTGGGACTTTAAATGGGTGGCATGCTGGTTTACAGGGGATTGGGGAGACTTCTCTGTCAGAGGCGTCGCTTCTTCTTGCTTCGAACAACACAGATCTAGTGCAGGGCTTCGGGTTTAGGGCGCACTGCCACTGGAATCAGCTCAAGCACTTGCACATGCGTGGGCATCAGACCCCGCCTAAAGCTCAACCCCAACCCCAAGGCCCAAAGCCGACACCCCAAAAAAAAAACTAAACCCTAAAAATCATAAGCCCTAAACTTTAAGCTCGGAGCCCCTTGATTATGGTTTTGGGTTACATTCTACTATAGAAACATACGTTCCCGCAAAGAAGATTTTCGTACTGGCTACCCCAACACCCCAAAACCCCAAACCTTCAACCCCCAAGCCCTAAACTCTAAGCCCCAGAAACCCATCGACGGCCCAAAACCCCTAACCTTAAACCCCCAAGCCCTCAACCCTAAACCCTAAACCCTAACCCTAAGCCCCAGAAGCCCATCGACGGCGCCTGGAAGAAGTTCGGATCTCTGTCCCCCAGCGCTCGCGGCAATTCGGCCCCGAGTCCCGCGAGGTGGGCGCGAGGACTTAGGCCGTAGAGGGCTTAGGGCTTAGGGCGTAGAGGGTTTAGCGCTTGGGGCGTAGGGCTTCGGGTTTGGGCTTAGGGCTTACGGCTTTGGGCTTTGGGCTTAGGGTTTCGGGTTGAGGGCTCGGAGCTTCAGGTTTAGGGTTTGGGGCTTTGGGGGGTTAGGGCTTTGGGGGTTTAAGGGCTTTGGGGGTTTAGGGGGTTGGGGTTTTAAAGTTGTGGGGTTTAAACTGCGCGCGGGTTAAGCACACTGGCTTGCGGAGTCTGCCGCTCCTTCAGCTACATTCTAAGTTCCCAGAAAAGGCATCAGTCAACCAATATATATATATATATAGATCCTGAAACACCCTCCAGAGACCATATAAACCCGAAAGTCTGAGGCTTTCAAGGGTTCAAGGATGCAAATACCCTTTGATAGCCCTAGGAGACCACTGAAAAAGTCCGAGGCACATCTGGAACTCGCGACCTTGCACGCAGCAGCTCTCCGAGGGATCCATGGCTTCGGTCCCGGAAGGAGTCAGGCTGTCGGGTTTTGAGGTTTAGGGTTTTGGGGCTTCGGGCTTAGGGTTTAGGGTTTCGGGCTTCGGGTTCTGATGAGGGATTCGGGGCTTCGGGGTTTAGGGATTAGGGTTTAGGGATTAGGGTTGTGGATTCCGGGCTTGGGGATTCAGGATGATGGTTTGGGGTTTGGGTGTTCTCGGCTAGGGTTTCGGGCTCAGTGTTCAGGGCTTAGGGCCGGTTTGGGGTTTAGGGCGTAAACCCTAAACCCTAATCCCTAAACCAAAACCCACAACCCTAAACCCTAAACCCCTTAGGGTTTAGGGTCTAGCTGGGTCCAGCAAGGGGACTGGCTCTGGCGCCGAAGCTGCAGAGCCCAGGAAGTAGAGCTTTCTGGCTTTCGGGCCGGGTTCATTTAAGGCTTCCGAGGGTTTAGGGTTTAGGGTTTAGGGCTTCCGAGGCCATAAAGAGCACAAGGTTTGGTAGATCGGGGGCTGAAGCTGCTGGGCCGAAGGTTTTGGTGGCAGGTGGCTTGGGGCTTCGGAGCTTGGAGTGTCGGGTTGGAGGCGTGAGGAACCAGGGTTTGGGAGTAGGGGGCTCTTGGGGATTTGGAGGCTTCTGGTTCTTGGGGCTTTCGGTGCTAAACCCGAAACGCCGAACTTTAACACATCGCAATTGGCCCGACAGACTTCTATCCTAAGCATGGAACCTACAGAGGCCTTGATGGAGGCCTGAGAGGGCTAAAAGGTCGAGGCATGTAGGATTGAAGCGCAAGGTTTGGGGGGCGGAGGTCTCAACCGGAAACCACCAAAGCCGAAGCTCCAAACCCTACAACCCTGAACCCTAAAGCCTGCAAGCCGCTCCTGCATCCTAACACCCCAGCTCCTTGACGTTCCAGCCGCCTTCAACGACTAAATCCAAAACCCTCTGAAGCCTAAGCCCTGAACCCTAAACCCCAAGCCCCAAACCTTCAAAATAATCGAGGCTTCTCCTGCTTCAGCTGCTGCGCGAGCTCCGGATTCTCGTGCTCCAGGCGCTGCAGCAGCACCTGTACTGGGTTTTGATGGGATGTTTCATTAGGCTATATGGTATCCACACCCCAAACACTAAACCCCAAACACTAAACCCCTTCACCCCTAAACCCTAAACCCTGTCCATAGGCTTGTGTAGGGCGCTTTTAGGGTTCGGGTTTGGTGGGCTGGGATTTGAGGTTTACGGTGCAGCTGGAAGCTTTAAGTTCGAGGCTTTGCGGCTGGGGGTTTTTGGGTTCAGCACAACATACCGGTTTAGCTTAGGGTTTAAGGCTTGCGCATATCCGGAGCGACAACTGGAAGGCTTTGAAGATGCCTTAAAGGCTCAGAGGGCCATTGATCAGCATGATTAGCATACCATACATGCTACGGAACAAGTTGATGATTGTGACGGCTCTTTTCCGAACGTGAAGGCAAGATGCTGCAGGCAGTGATCTTAAAGTATGGAATCTTGTCCCTACACATTTGAAAACTCAGAAACGTCTATAGCTGCCCGGATGACGTTTACACGAATGAAACCCTGCTTACAACGTACTTCCGAAGTCCTTCGATCCATCACGTGCCAAAACCAAAAAAGCCCAACAAGAGCCCCAAAACTGAAAGCGCAGCTTGCAAGCCACAGTGAGTCCAAAAAAAAGAAATTCAGGCTGAGGCTCGAGGAGCGAAGGTTCTTGACAAAGGCTTGAATAATTAGAACAGGGTATCAGGGGATAGCATGCTACAATTATGCTACTAATTGTTCAGACTCCCATTTTACGGTTTTGTAGTCAGAGGTGCAGTGCAGTCCAGGATTTTGGGCTTTCGGTTTAGAAGATTTCGCGGCAGGGGCTTGGGGGTCAACGCATGGGCTGGGGCCATGGTTTGGGCTTTGGCTTTAAGATTAAGAAGTCGCATGGTAGGGATCATTCCTGTATCTTGTCAAACAAGCTGCCTCTCTGTCCTTCGCTTCAGACTTGCGGTGGATGCGGCGGTACCTCTTCAACACTACCACGTGAGGATTAATGGCATTGTCGGATGCGGCGGGTTCCTCGGACCTTAAATCCTAAGCCTTCGGGTCTGCCAACTTTTCGGGGAGGTTTAGCTGGTCGGTGCAGGTGAAGTTCAGGGAGATGCCGTGCTTTTCGCAAAATAGAGTAAGTCTGGAAATCCTGAAGTGCAGATTTTACTTTATGTGAGGGTTGCATGGGACTGGCTTTGGAAAGTGTCGGATGTCTCAACATCTTTAGGGCACAATATGACCACGAGCGGTTTTCATTTTCTGGACCTAGTTGAGGGCACGTCTTGGACTTGATCTTGTTGACCCGGCGCTTGGTCTGCTGCTCCCGAAGCATCAGCGCCTCGAAGGCATGCAGCCATGTCTTCACTCATCCCGCGATCTATTGCTCTTCAACTTCTTCCTCCTCCTCCTGACTACAACAGTTACTGCAATGAATGTTGTTGCAACTACTACTTCCCACTCACTTCTTCCTACTGACTGACTACTTACTACTGACAACTGGCAACGCACTACTTACTGCTGACTGCGAACTACTGCCTACCTACTACCTGCTACTCCAGCACCACCACCACCACCACCACTACTGCCTCTCGCATCACCACCCCTAGCAGGGCTACCGCTTCCACCACGAACACCACCCACACCACCCCAAACACCACCGACCACCGCCACCACCACCACACCACAACAACCACCACCACCACCGCTAGTCACTACCACTACCACTATCCCTCTACCTCTCTACCGCTCTACCCCTCTACCCCTCTACCCCTCTACCCCTCCCCTCTACCCCTCTACCCGTCTTCACCACTACCCCACTACCACACTACCACTACCACGACCTGCACTCCCACCACCACACCACCACGATCACGACCGCAAGCTGACCACTATTTGTCTCCAAGCGCTTGCTGTACAGTGCACACATGAGGGAGGAACATACCTATTAGTAAAAAGAAGGCCTGATCTCAGGATCTGGCAACCTGCAGGTCTCTTAGAGATCCAAAGAGTTGTTGAAATCTTCTTTGCAAAGCACGACCGTCTGGTCACGGATCTTGTTTCGCAGGGCCGTACGTCCGGCGGAAAGCTGTGCGATGGTCTTCGCACCAGCCCTCTGCAAGAGCTTGATCAGCATGTTGACTGCATGTCGGTGGTACTTCTCACGGTCCATGGACCTGTCGGCATCGCTGGCGAGATCCAGACACATCGCCGGCTCGAAAGCAGTCATGTGAGCATGGGCGAAGCGCTCCAGTAGGATCGCATGGTCACTTGTCGCTGTGACGCAGATCACAGGCAGGTACTGCAGGAGTGCCTCGTCTCGCAGCGACGTGGCCCTGCACGGATTGAGCCGCCTCACTGACCGCCTCACCAGCTGCGGCTACTCATTGCCGGGCATTGACGAGTTTGCAATAGGCCTCGTAAACTAGGAGATGTGTGCCAGGCCAATGGCAAGTTGCATGAGGTGGCTCAGCCAAGGTACGAAGCGCTTCCACAGCAGCTCTCGGCACCGCTCGCCCAGCGCGGGCCTGCGGTGACAAAGCAGATCAGCCATGTGGCTTTCCAGCACATGCCAGCAAGTAGTGTCTCGGGTTGTGCTGTTGAGTTTTGCAAGTCGCAAGCTCCAGGCCGGCAGGTCCTTGGCGCCAAACGACGGAAGCGTCCACAAGGTGTCGGGCGAGAGGTCGCAGACGAGCGGGTGGTTGCAGGTCGGCAGCGGCTGAAAGCAAAGCCCGACCTGCAAGCGCAAAGAGTACATGTCGCATGGATCTGCGGGCTAGACCTTGACTCATGCAACTTGGTTTTGGGGACTCGACCTTGACTGGTGCGACATGGCTTAGGGGACTCGACCGACTCGACCTTCATTTGGTGCGACATGGGTTTGGGGGTCGGGCCTTGACTATTGCGACATGTTTTTGTATTTGCCTACATAGGCCTGCTGGTCCTCCTCCGAAGGCGGAGCGGTTTCAGCAGTTGGTTCTGGCAGCACCAGTGAAGCGCAAGCAGATCAGCCATGTGGCTTTCCAGCACATGCCAGCAAGTAGTGCCCCGGGTTGTGTTGTTGAGTTTTGCAAGTCGCGAGCTCCAGGCCGGCAGGTCCTTGGCGCCAAACGACGGAAGCGTCCACAAGGTGTCGGGCGAGAGGTCGCAGCGAGCGGGTGGTTGTAGGTCGGCAGCGGCTGAAAGCAAAGCCCGACCTGCAAGCGCAAAGAGTACATGTCGCATGGATCTGCGGGCTAGACCTTGACTCATGCAACTTGGTTTGGGGGACTCGACCTTGACTGGTGCGACATGGCTTAGGGGACTCGACCGACTCGACCTTCATTGGTGCGACATGGGTTTGGGGGTCGGGGCTTGATTACTGCGACATGTTTTTTTGTTTGCGAGAATAGGCCTGCTGGTCATCCTCTTCCAACAGAAGAAGGCGAAGCGGTTTCAGCAGTTCTTCTAGAGCGGCAGCCGCAGGCTCTTCTCGTGGAGGTTCTGGAAGCACCAGTGAAATTCTGCCAGTGAAGCGCAAGCTGAGCACCGAGCAGTAAGCAAGCTGACCACCATCTGCCTCCAAGCGCTTGCTGTGCAGTGCATACGTAAGGGAAGCGCGTACCTATGAGTAAAGAGAAGGCCTGATCTCAGGATCTGGCAATGCGCAGGTCTCTTAGAGATCCCAAGAGTTGTTGAATCTTTCTTTGGTCGCAGATCGTGCTTTGCAGGGCCGTACGTCCGGCGCAAAGCTGTGCGATGGTCTTCGCACTGGCCCACTGCTGCAAGAGCTCGATCAGCATGTTGGCTGCATCTCGGTGGTACTTCTCATGGCCCATGGATCTGTCGAGATCGCTGACGAGATCCAGTCGCATCGCCGGCTCGAAAGCAGTCATGTGAGTGTGGGCGAAGATGTGCCTCGCGCACCAAGGCTTCTTCAACACTGCTGCAGGTCTCTTGCGTGACTGCCGGGTGGGCTAGAGAAGCCACCGGTGTGCTCCAAGGTTGCCGAGCAGATTAGGGGATTTGCATGGTCATGCATTCTGTCTGCTGCGGACTTGGAAAGTCTTGCCGATGCAGAAAGCTGTACACAGAAAGCTTTCCCTCGGAACTAATCCTGCGAGCCTCGTCAAGCTTTATTGCTTCCATCCATTCACCACCTGTTCCACGATGGGACACACGCCGTGGTTCGTCAGCATGGTAACACGTTGTTTTTCCCATCCAGCTCGTGTACTGCGACAGAGTACGTGATGAAGATGACTGCACGTGTCACGTGTCTTCTCGCTGAGCATCCCGTTGGGATAGCCAACACGTTTGCCTCGCTCTTGGACTGGCACTCTGAGATCCGCATCTCGATCCTCGGACTCAGGCGGTCCCGGCAGTCGATTCTGCAAAGGCTCCACAGTTGCGATGCCATCTCCTTTTTCGTAGATAGCCTCGAATGCCCTACGAAGTCCTGTACTGGTGCGCTTTGGGGAATACTCCAGCTGTGCTGCTGGCTGCTTCTGCATAGGTGTCCTCAGGTCTTGTGGCATCTCCGCATGCACTGTCGTAGTTGGAGAAACTGGCGTCGCTGGTGCAGAAGCCTTCTGTCTCACAGTCCTCGCAAGAGTAGTCTGTGAGGGAGACGGTTCCAGGAAACTGTACGGCTTCCCTGAGAGGCTCCAGATAGGGCAACTCCTCTTCGCAGGGCGACTTCGGGCCCAGCTGTGGTTCGCTGGGTCTTCCGCCTGAGTCTCATCCGGCTGGGTTCTTGCAGCCGTCTCCTCGCCAGGATCCACGGCATGCCTATGCAACACCTGCCAGGGTCGGAGCCTGCAAACTCAAGTCGCATCTCTCAAGGTCCAGCTCGCAAACTCAAGTCGCATCTGTCAGCGTCCGGCTTGCAAACTCAACTCGCATCTCTCAAGGTCCAGCCTACAAACGCATGCGACATCTGCCAACCCACTGGCTGATGTTTCCAATGGCAAACCTGAAACCCCAGAACAACCTCATCCAAAAGCCCTATAGGTTCCCGGTAGACCCTTCAGAATAAAGGTAACTGCACACCTCTTGCCGGACTCCGACCAGAAACTACAGAGAACACGCTCTAAAGTAGGGCCTCGGCGCCACGACGACTACGATGACTACTGACCACTGCAGCTGTTGCTGCTACGGGAGTCAAGTTGACCGAGAACCCCATCCAGGCAAAATCGCAGACCGGCCGTCGTGCCTTCAATCGGGCGACCTGCCGCCGGGTGCGCATGGGCTGTGCCAACAGTTTCTTCTGGGTTGAACTGCTAAACTTGTACCAGGGTTTAGGGTTTAGGGTTTAGAGTTTAGGGTTTAGGCGGAAATTTTTTCCAGAGGTACATAAGGTCTATAGGGGTTGGGCATCAAAGTTTGTCATGTCCGGGTTCAGAGCTTACAGGTTTACGGCGGAAGGCTTTGATCTTTTGGGCTCCAAGGGGGGTAGGAAGTGACCCTAAACCCTAAACCCTAAAAAGGGGATTGTCCGGTGCCTTATTGGATTTTGTGTGCGTAGCGCCCAGGAGACATGGGCGCTGGGTTTCCTTTAGGAAAACGGGCTTTGGCGATTTGGGGCTTTCAGGACTGCTTTGACGTTTCATGGGAGTGTTTAAATTTGGGGCTTAGGGGTTTAAGTGGCGTTTGTTGTTTGCAAGTCCGTTGCATACAACGCTTTAGTTTTTCTTACACTTCAAGGGGGCAATAGCACGTGTCAAATCCCCCAGCAAACAGACAAATGCTTGCAGGAAGACCTAACCCACTTCGAAGGAGGATTTTGGCAAGCTTAGAGATCTGCACAGGAAAAGGTCCAAATGCGCGCATCACTTGGTGTTCATAAAAGGCTTGCGAACATGTGCCCTAAACCCTAAACCCTAAAGCACCCAGTGAAGACCAACAGCCTGCCGCCTTCGTAGACCGGGTTTGTGTGTTCGTTCCCTCTCAGGCTTGACCCGATGCGAAGCTACTCTCATTTTGCTTGGAGGTTCATGGGTAGTTATAAGTGGAGTTATAAACCCCCCAAATATGGGTTATAACTATAGCTACCCTACTTATAACCCCACTTATAACTACCCATGAACCTCCAAGCACTGGCTGATCTCAGGAAACAACTCAGCCACACGCCGAAACTGGCACCCGGTGGTGTGCTTGATGTAAACGACTGCAAGGTATCGTCCCAGACGCTTTGTCCAGAAAAGCATCGACACACCGATGAATACACGATGTAGCCCTAAACCCTGAGCCTTAACCTAAATCCTCATCCCTAAACTCCAAAAACCCTCCACCCTAATCCCTCAACCTAAAACCCTAAACCCTACATCCGAAACCGATCATCCCTAAACCCATAAAGCCCTAACCTTAACCTAAGGACGCAAGCAAGGCCTTGAGGTGCCGAGCTATAGAGTTTAGGGTGTGGGGTTTAGGGTTTTGGGTTCAGGATTTCGGGTTAGCATTCCGCACTATTACGACTGTAGGTTGAAAGCTTGGTGTTTAGGGCTTTAGGCCTTAGGGGGTTTGGGGGCTTCGGGGTTCGGGGTTTTGGGTTTAGGGGTTTTGGCATTTGGGGGTTGAGGGGCTTAGGGGCTTAAGAGGTTAGGGTTCTTGACATTTGGGCATCGGCATAGGATTATTACCACCGCTGCTACGACGATTGCGAAGCCTGGGCTCTGAAGCACTAAACCCTAAACCCTGAACCCCGAAACTGCTCCTCAGCCCTAAACTCTAAACTCTAAACCCTAAACCCTACAAACTCTCCAAACTCTCCAAACCCTCCAAACCCTCACACCCCCTAAACCCTTTAAGCAATAAACGCCTGTCGCGTCTGCTGCTCCTCTCGTATCCTGGGGTTCATTGGCAAGACCTGGCCAGGAAAGCTCACGGGACCATGGAGATGTCGGATATCGGGCTCGGAAGTTTTAGGGTTGTCTATTTCCGGTGACATCAGTTTGCTTTGGCCATCCACGCCCAGACACAGTGCAAAGGCACGGGTCAGTGCTGCAAATCCTTCTCTTAGTTTTAAGCGGTGGCTGGACCCCAAACCCTGAACACCAAACGCCTTCAAGGACGTATTTGAGTAGGAGATTTCCCTTTCAAGAACAACTAGGAAGAACCGTAAACGAATTCCACAGAATCCCTGATGCCAAGTTTCTCCCGGCTTGGGGTTTAGGGATGGGAGTTTAGGGTTTAGGGTGATGCTTTTTTGCGTATAGAGGCTGCCGACACCGCATCTGAGAAAGGCGCCTACAAAATTGGATTACTTGGAGGATCACGGGTAGTTACAAGTGGGGTCACAAGAAGGGTAACTATAGTTATAACCCATATTAGGGGACTCATAACCCCACTTATAACTACCCCTAAACCCTAAAAACCCTATAGTGCCCTATAGAACCCTTTAAAGGAGCCCTTCAAGGAACCCCATAACCCCACTTATAACTACCCATGAACCCTCCAAGGTGGGTTCTGGGCTGGCTCGCAGACCTCATCTTCGGGATCAACCCTACATCCCACTAAGCCCTAGACGCTAAACCAACCCGAAGCTCACCATGCCTAATAAACCCTACACAAAAACATCCCTAAACACCAGAAAAAACCCAATAAACCCTAGACAAACATCCCTAAAACCCGAAACCCGACATGCTCCTGTACTAACTTACCCCCGAAACTCTCACCGTCGTTTTGTCAACGCTAGAACCCTCGCCGGACCTTGGCCCCTCGCAAGTCCTCCTCGCTGGCACCTAGAGGAAGCCCGAGTTTGTAGGAAGGGTTTAGGGTTTAGGGCTTAGGGCTTAGGGTTTAGGGTTTTGGGTTTAGGCAGAACCATCCGACTGGGCTCGGTGCTGCAGGGGTAAAGCTTCTAGCCGGACTTCTTGCAGAGCCAGGGTTTAGAGTTTAGGGTTTAGCGTTTTAGGATTTAGGGTCGAGGGTTTCCCGTTTAGGCCACTTTCTTTTAGATGGCCCACCTGCGCAAGGCTGAGAAAGAGGTATGCTCGAACTCATATACCCGGCAAGACTACTCTGCACCCTCCCCGCCAGCCACCAGTTCAGCCAAAAGAGTCCCTAAACCCTAAACCCCTGTTTGATGCCGTTGCTTGAACTTAAGGTCACGCTTTCGGGCTATGGCACCCATAGCCCTCTACCCGAAATCCACACCCTGAATCTTCACCCAAATCCTAAAGACTACACCCTGAAAGCTATACCAAAAAACCCTAAACCCGTAGAGTAAGCCCTACCTAAATCCCAAGCCCAAGCCCCAAACCCTAAACCCTAAACCCTAAACCCTAAACCCAAACCCCCAACCCCCAACCCCCCCCCCCTTCCCCTGCCGAAGCCGCCTGCAGCTCGTGTGGCAGCCTCGAGCTCAACCTCGAAGTCGTCCACCGGGGCGAAGTTGCCTGGCGGGGCAACTAAAGGGTTATATTATATATTGTATTGCATTATAGTATAGTATAGTATATTATATATTTGGGAGGCCTAGAGGGCTTAGGGGTTTAGGATTTAGGGTTTAGGGTTTAGGATCAGCTAAAGAAAAGGGCCAAGAGGGTTTAGGGGTTTAGGGTTTAGGGTTTAGGATCAACTAAAAGGCCTAGAGGGTTTAGGGGTTTAGGATTTAGGGTTCAGGGTGTAGGGTTTAGGGTTTAGGATTTCTGACTTCGGGTCCCGACTGTCTCGTTGGGTTGAGGATTTTGTTGGTCGAAGCCTAAACACTTACTAAACCCTAGACCCGAAGCCCTTGAATCCTAAGTCGACTCTGAAGATGCAGGGTGGCTGTAGGGCTCCGGGTTGACAACTCCTGAAGCTTGAAAGCTTTGAAGCCTAGTTTGGGGGTATTTAGGTTTTAAGGCTTTTGGGTTTTGGGCTGTTGGAACGGCATTTCGAGATATGTTGCAGCAGA